TGATATAAATGAGTTTCATATCAACTATTTTTATATAGGAGTGGACGGTTAAATTATAATTACAATGCAATTGTGATAATAATGACTAAATTTTGAACCTGAATCCTTGATAACACTAATGTTCATTTTGTCTTGTTTTGTTGCAGTATGCTCCATATAATGTATTTTTGAATGTTTACTTAATATAAAAAATAATATAGCAAAGTTTTTGTTTCCTTTTAGCATAATGGAAATTTGAAATGTTACACTAATTTTTTATATTGTGCAACGTAGCTTTACAATACACGGCAAACATTCTGGCAATAAAAAGTAAGTGATAAACTGGATCTGAACTTGATCTCCAATTTAGAGAGGTAACAACTATATACTGGCGAAGTTTCAGAAGCAATGAGTTCTGTATAACGTTTCGTGTGACAAAAACTTCCACTATGCTTTTCCTTTTTAGAGGTAGATTTGTTGATCGAATACCCCAATCAATCAATCATTACAGTATTTGGAAATTCCAAATTTGGTTGGTATATTTCCTGACTGTATCACCCACCATACGTTTTTAAAATGTATATACAAATACGCGTTCTTTTAAAAAAAAATTTTTTTTTAATTATTACTATTTCTTTTTATAATATCTTAAATGGAAGTAGATTGTTCAACTCCTGTTCCTCGTCGTATTAAACGTAAAATAAGTGAGTCAGGTAGCGATAATAATGAAAGTGAAGAATTCAATTTTAATAGAGCTTGTAAAAAAGTTTCTCAGCCTGTTACTACTAAAAAAAAAAGCTCTGGTTAGAATTTTGTTTTTTCTTTGGAATTTATTATCAAAATTTATATATATATATTATGCGCTATTTGTCAATAATTATAATTATAATATCAATATATATACATAGTAAACACAAAAAGATTTTATGTTTTCATGGAAAATGAGGTAGAAGAACATGAAAAATTAGAGCTTATAGGTGAAGATTCATTCAATGAAGGATGTCCTCCCGACGGCTATGATAACGTAAATTATACTATACCATGCCGTACACTTGATAATTTCATAATATTTGATGTAAACAATAAAAATCGAATTGCTAGTATTGAGGAAATTGATGATCTAGGGAAGGAATTGCATGCCGCGGGAATAGTAAAAGCAATATATGTCGATGAAGATGATGAAGAACTTATTGAAGATGAACTTAGTGAGGAATTAAGACTTCCTGATCAACAATTTAGAACCACTACTATATTCCATTTTCAAATCGAACAACTTGAAAATAGTAAAAGGTATTTATTTATTCTTTAAAAAAGAAAATCATACCTTATTTATCTAACAACAAAATTTAAAATTTATCTTCATTATATTTGTAAATCATAGCGAAATTTGGATACGAACGCAATTTGCCTTTTATAAATTGCTTAAACCAGCTGAAGAATATCTTAGAACTTTTGAACCTATATATAAAAAAATTAGAGCCGCGAATTTAACAATTGAAACGCTGGCTTCTAATTCAGAAATCACTTATGAGAAATTCATTAAGTCTATAAAAGAATCAGCTTCTTCCTCTCCCTCTCCTTCCTCTTCTTCTAGTCAAATTGGTAATGAATTAATAAAAATTAAATTAACGGAAAAAGATATAATCAACAATATTGATTATATTGCTGAAGAAATTCAAGCTTGGATCTCTGAACAATCAGAATTTGGAATTCTTGAATGTCCGTTACTTGATACACTTTTTCAGATACTATCAAATGGTACATATACAAGAACAAAAAAAGTTGGCATGACTAATGCTGATAACATTAGAACAAAAAGAAATATTACCATAAAAAATCCAAATACAGCTGTTTTGACTAATACAAATCAAACATGCGTTACACCATTCATACAAAATCTTACAAAAGGTCTATTTAAACGAAAACTGATCACAATTAAACAAGTAGAAGATGCAGCAGATGTGACTTCTGATGATGAAATAGAATGTGATAATATTCCAATAGTGATGATCAAACCAATCACTCATTGTATTAAATGGGATTGCGAGGCTATTGTTAATAATAATAATAACAATAATAAACAAAAAAAACTTTACTATAATTCAGTTAGTATTAACGGTGAAATTATAAAAGTTGGTGATGTGGTATATGTTCGTAATGGTGAATCCGACGAACCACAATTTGTAAAAGTAATTTACATGTATGAGGATTCGAAAAAGAATAAGATGTTTCATTCAAGATTCTTCAGTCATGGAAAAGAAACAATCCTTGATGAATTGGCTGGCGATCGTGAAATCTTTTTGTTGGACACTTGTGTTGATGGTAAACTTGATACTATCCTTGGTAAGGCATTTGTTGAATATCTAGAAGTTTGCAAAGATGAATCCTTTATCTTCGAAAGTAATCAATACCATTTTTATAGGTATGAGTAATAATATAATTTTTTATAATTAAATGAATAAAATAAATTGAATAACAATTTATCAATAAATATATTTTTTGTTTTAATGATAAACTCTTTTAAAGGTATTGGTATGATAAAGAATATGCTGTTTTTGAAGATGTCAGACTACACGAAGATCCAAATATGAAATTCATCTATTGTGATGATAATGAAGAATGTCACTCATGTGAAAGCCATCTTACAAAAGAACACAGCGTGTATCCCAAACAGCTTTCACCTGATAAATCTTTTGATAAGGGCTTTATATATAAAGACTATGAATATCATCAATATGATTTCATTTACATTATACCAGAAGAAAAGGATTTACCTTATGTTATTGGTCAAATAATCGAAATTATCGAAGATACAGCGAGTGTTCAAGTAACAATCGATAATATATTTTCAACAGGAAGAAATGCAAATTCTAAATCTAGTCAAAAGAACAACACCACTAAAGTTTTATCTAATGATATTAAATTGATGGTACATATTCTTGGCCGTGTTGATGATTTGAGTAGTTCTTCATCGAAACCTAAATTTAAATCACCTGAAGAGGCTACATATAAAGATATTGTTCAATATCCTATGATAAAAAAAGATAGTCGTCATCTTTATTATACAAATAAAAAATTATTTATTAGTGATATTAACAATCTTGAGGGTGTTTGTTGGGTGCAACATTTAGACACTATTGAAGATCTTGACAAGTATAAAGAAGAAAATGATAGTTTTTATGTTGAAAAAGTATCAAAAATCAACTCGCCAAAAAATTCAGATTTATTAAAATTGGAGCCTGAGTGTTTCTCCACATGTTCAATTTGTAAAGACAAACGTGAAAAACATAAACACAAATTGGAAAATTTCTTTGAATGTATAAATTCTCAAAAACGAAAATTACGAGCAATGGATATCTTCTCAGGCTGTGGTGGAATAACAATTGGCATGGATATGACAGGAATTGTTAACACTAAATGGGCTATAGAATTTGCTCCTAGCGCAGCTTTAACTTTTAAGTAAGATATAATAAATATATTAATTTGATATAATGATATTAATTAACTTTTAATTATTTTGTTTATATATCTAAATAATATACATATAGAAATAATAATCCTGATGCAATTGTTTATAACCAGTGTGCAAATTTATTACTTGAACGTACAATTGCTGAACATGTCAGGAATGAAAGGCCGGAGGAAATATATGATTTTCTGAAACAAAAAGTCCCTAGTATGCCAAGACCTGGTGAAGTTGATTTTATTTATTGTGGTCCACCTTGGTAAAGAAAAAATTTTATTTATTTATTTTGATAGGTTTAAATAAATCTAAATCTTTTGATTTTTTTTTAAAAAAAATAATTAGTCAAGGATTTAGTGGTGTAAATCGTTATCAAAAAGCCGACGATATCAAAAATAGTCTTGTAGCAACAGCGTTGAGTTATGTTGATTTTTATAGGCCTGATTACTTTTTATTAGAGAATGTTCGTGGAATGCTTTCATTTCGTCTAGGAGGAGAGCAAGATGGTATTAAGATAAAAGGAGGAATCAAGATGGGCGTAATTAAATTCATATTAAGATCATTGACTGCATTGGGGTAAATATAATTATCAAATAAAATTTTAAATGCATCTCTGAATGACTTTACACTGATATTTAAAATATAATAAATAATATATATCTACATATTATATAATAATTAGATATCAAACCAGATTCGGTGTTCAACAGGCTGGCAATCATGGTATACCACAAAGTAGGCGTCGTTTATTTATATGGGGAGCAAAAAGAGATTGTTATCTACCTGATTTCCCACAAATATCAACATGTTTTGGAAAACAAGGATCCATAAATATTTTATTACCAAATGGTAAATCATTCACTTACAACAAACGAACAAATGGTCATGCACCACTTCCACCAATAACTGTAGGAGATGCCATCACTGATTTACCAAAATTTGAATTTGTAAATCCTAAATTTATTTATAAAGAAGACGATGATGATCAAGTTGCTCGTCCATTTAAACAAATAGCAGTTCCAGAAAAAGGTTGGGTCGGTGACATGAAGACAAAATATGTGTTTGAACCAGTATCTGAATATCAGAGACTATGTCGTAAAGATTCTGAATTTTTATATAATCATGTAACAAGAGCCTTTAATCCATTGACTGTGGAACGTATTGTTCGCATACCAATGTTTCCAGGTGCTGATCACTCTAGTAAGTTTGAAATCATATTAAATTTTCTTTTTTTGCACTAATAAAATATGAGAGAAAGGTCATTGGTCTCAATGTTAACAATAATAATTATAATAGACCTTCCAGAAAAACTTAAACCTTGGTGTCTGAGTGATCCTAATTCGGCTGCAAGTAGACATAATGGTTGGAAAGGATTGTTTGGAAGATTGGATTTCGATGGACATTTTCTTACTGCCCTAACAGATATAAATCCAATGGGGAAAACAGGGGTAATTATAATTATATACATATAATTTACAATTTTAAGAAAAATTTATTAATCAGGGAATTTTTTTCTTATGAATTTTACAATAGACTGTGATACATCCGAATCAAAGGCGAATTATTACAGTTAGGGAATGTGCTAGAGCACAAGGGTTTCCTGATCAATTTATATTTTATAGTGACCGAGATGATACTAAAGATATGCATCGTCAAATTGGCAATGCAGTTCCACCACCGTTGGCTTTTGCACTTGGAAAATGTCTACTAGAATCAGTGTTTAAAAAGTCAGAATTAAATCAGTGCAATATTTATTAAAACAAATAAAAAACGACTAAAACTCGTAACACTGCCTTTTCCCTTGGAATTTTTTTGTTTCATTTGGTTATGTATGAAAGAATGATTTACGTTTTTCCTATATTTGTCAAATAAAATGGGTAGTACGGGAAATAAAACATAGAAAGTATTTATTATTCGTATCATGCTCATATCCAGAATGAACAAGCTGAATGAATGTACAGAATGTACAGGAACAGATACGGATCCAAGTAAACTCAACTTTATTAAACACAATTTTTTGGGAAGGATGAAATGAAAAAAACAAGGTGCTTCTTATGATTAATGAAATTATTTTTTCTTGATTAATAAGTAAACCTTATTACACTAAATCAGGAAGATCCAAATCCTCCCTATAGCTAATTGCCACCAGCTAGACATATCCTACCACAGTTAAAATGGCAGCAGAGAGGTCAGTAAGTCCCCCTTATAAATGGATCAGGTCTCTCCATAAGTGTTTGTGTGCAAAAAAATGTTCCTTATGTTATGGGCAGCATTAACATCTCGATTCCAATGTGTCAGACAGACTGATTTGCAGACTCTGATGGACCAGAATTTTTGATGCTTATCAAACCACCCATCACACAAAGAACAGACTGAGGAAGTACGGAATTCATCAATGTTCACCACCTTGCAGTGTCTAGAAAGCTCTTGGTGAAATTCTTTTACAGGGCCTGGAGCATGCCCAAGTGATGTTGATGAGAATTTACCATCACCAAATGCAACAACTGTACTGTTACCATTATTATTTGTTATTCTCTTGCACAGAATATCAAAGGCCTTCTGCTTATTAATAAAAGATTTCTATCACAACTGACACCAGTGACATTCACCATAAAAATCAAGAATTATATCAAGGTAAAACAGAGTGTAAGCAAGGTAAGAGCCATATTCATAGACATTATTAGTGACAGCAGAGGTTGGAATATCTAGGTTTTGTATTAGTATTAGGCGAAAGGTATGTAAGTAATATTATTCAATGATATCTTTTTTAACAGCAAATTAAATTAACAAAGTATAGCTCACCTTGAATAGCAGCTTGAAGATATTGATTTTTTTCCAACCACAACTCACATTTTTTACAAGCATGAACAAACCCTGCTAAGTTCCAGTACTCCTTATTGGAATAACTCACAACTTTTTCATCTGAACTCACTGCTACAAACAGATCTTTTCTTCCAGGATCCAGTCCAAATAATTTGCATCCATTCAAATCAATATTTGATCCTTCTTCATCAACATCCTCTTTATAATCATCAACTTTCTTCTGCAGACCAACTGATACTGCAAGACCATCAGTTTGTATGGAGTAAGCAAAGATTCGATTTTGGGTGGTGACTTTATTAATATTAAATGCTCCCATCCGCCAAGTTTCCTTTTCAGCACTGAATCTTTGACTTTTACTTTTTCAATTGACTTGTACATGTAATATAAAGCATCAGTATCAACTAATATGTACCTTTGTTTGAAAGAGTATTCAGGCAGAAGTGCGAAGAGATGAAAACCATGTTCCCAGTTATGCTTGGTAAAGTTGTGCAGGATTTTATGAAGACCTGAAAGATATGACCATCAGGATGCTTTTACAGATACATCATCAAGAGCTTGATTTTGGAATAGTGTCTGTTGCACTTTCAAGTGAATATATTGAATGCAGGTAGTAAGGTAAATTAGGTGTTGCAGATGTGATGTAGAGAGTTTATCAAGGGAGGAAAGGGAGGTCTTGATTTTTCAAGTTGGTAATGAAATGGTTTATAATGAAGTTGATGTGTTTTTTTGGGTAAAGGAAATTGATGAATCTTAAATAATTTATATTTTATCCATCTTTTAAGTCGGTTGTTGAGATTTGTTGTTATGTGGTTCTGACATATTGCCATGCAGTAGAGGAGAGAGGTTGTCCTAATGATTTTTTATTTGTCCAATTCATTCTTCAAGGTCAATATTGTGTGTAGAGGGTATCTCGAATATTATTTATGATGGGTTCATTGGTGGTGTCAGGGGTATTTTGGGATGTAATTACAGCTTGGAAACATTGCCTCATATATTTGAAAGCACCTTCACTTGTGTTAAAAGGCAATTGATTAGGGGTTGGAACCGTTGACCGTTTAACCGGTTAACCACCATTTATTAATTTTTTATATATATTACAGTCAAACTCCGTCACAGCGGACCTTGCCACAACACATTTCTTGTTACAACGGATTTAAGTATTGTCCCCTTATTAATATTAATTAAACCGTTTGTCATAATAATAAATTTGTTCCACGGATTTTTGATTAGTCGTGGGACATTGCAGATCAAGTGTCATTCAATATAAACGTTACACGAATAAAATTATTATCGTCCACTTCAAAAAAAAAA